GGTCTCAGGGGCAGGTGGGTTGGTTTGGAATCCCAGCTTTGCCACCGTTGGACTCTGGGAAAGTCACTTGGCCAGTGTGAGGCTCCACGTCCTCATCTGTAAGATGGGTTCAGAGCCCCAACCTTGTTGGGCTCCTATGAGGAGGCAATGGGGCCCCGGATAGAAAGTGATTAGCACCGAGCCTTCCATACCCGGTAGCGGGTGTTCAGACATGTCCATTATGGAGGTGTGTGTGGGCGAGGGTGCCTGTCTTGGTGTTGGGGACCTGAGGGACAAGGTGTGAGGGCCGTGTGTCTACTAGGTGAAGGATGTTGAGTGTCCATTGTTCTGTGTTTTTGCTGAGTGGGGTGTTCACTGTTTGGGGGGCCTCCTTTTAAACTGGAGCTCCCCGGCTGGTTTGAATAAGCCAGGCTCTCAGCCCCAGGAGGTAGAGTTCTGGTAGCTCCCCGGGGACCATTCCGGGCGGCCCCCTGCTTGTCACCAGCTGGGAGCATCCCTCCGTAGCTTGGGGGGCCCCAGTCCAGCTGTACCCTTTCTCCATCCGGGAGGCCCCCTCCGAATGCCAGCACATCCAGCACCCCTCGAGGGCCCCGGCCGGAGGAAGGGAAACAGGAAAGAGAAGGAAGGGCCTGGGGGTGGACCCTGCGGCTCCTGCCGCTCCTGCGGCTCCCGGCTGAGTGCCGGCGGCCGGGGACTTTGAGTCGTCTGAGCGCTAGGGGGCAATGTGTCTGTTCCAAAGAAGCCGCGGGCCGTAGGCCGAGTGTGCCTCCCGGCACCCGCAGGGGAGCCCACACCACAGAGGCACACACACGCCGGTGTGTCCACGGGCACAGATGGCCACAGGCAGTCACCCCCTCTCCCACTCGCAGGGAAAACACACACACCTGAGCAGAGACTTGGGCGCACGAGGTGTAAGGCAGCCCCACGTACTAGGGACAGACACAGGCAGACACACAGAGAGACATGGGGGTGGGGGTCGACAGCACCTCCCCCAGGGACACTCAGCGAGACACCCAGAGGTATGCGAAGGCACACGCACCCCCACACGAGCGAAGACACAAACGCAGGCCCCCTGCCCCACACCCGCACAACATTCGTGGTGCGAAGGAAAGGTGACCCAGACACATCCTGAACAGAAACCCAGCCAGACCCAAACACACCCTGCTTTCAGACACTCACACACCTTGTAGACTGAACTCTTGGAAACAGCCCCAGAAAAATACTCCCACACCCCCCCGCACCCCCCGCACCCCCCAACCCCCAGAGCACACAGAATTATTCCACAGGAAACCTGCCCAGGTGTTCAGGGGACCCCCCACCCCCGTGTGAAGTCATGCCTCAGCCGAGAGCACACCCCAACCAGGGTCTCCCCAGACTGCAGGTCTGTGGGCCATTCTTCCCACTGCGCTGGGCCACCCAGGCCTCCAGACAGGTCCCAACTTCCCGTATTCCCTCCAGACACACATGAGACATAATGTCCTCGCATAGGGCTCCGGAGACACCCATCTTTCCCAGCACTGATGGTTCTGGACAAGGCGTGCCACCAGCTGTCATGAGCTTTGCATATAGGCCTCTGCCCATGCGGGGTCCTCCTCCTGGCGACCATTCCCCCTACTGGTCCCCTTCCTGACCAGGAGGCTCAGGGTCTCCCCATCTCTGGCCTGGGGCCCTGGGTGGGGGTGGGGGGTCACTGGAGTCCTACCCAGTACCTTTATTTCTTTGTGCCTAAATCAGCCAAGCCCCAGTCTTTTCCGGCTCTCAGTTCCCTGTCACTTTGCTAAGTAATAATTTCCATGTCCGATTCCATTTCTTTCTAGTTCTGAAACCTCTAAGCTATCAGCAAGAGGATAGTTCACATGAAAACTAATTACACAAAATCAATATTTAATCACAGACCAACAACCTGATCCTGCAGAAAAATCCTTTTAAAACTCCACCGCCCTGTACAAATACTTCTTCCCGATGCTTATTTATGGACCCCATTTTTGGTGGGGGTAATTTTCATTTTTAATTTCAAAAGGAAAAAATATCTGTAGACATCCACCACAGGAAGGTCCCGGGAAGGACCTTGAATCTGAGCTGGCTTGGCTCTCTTGAGTTTCAGAGTTGCAAGTTTTTATTGCTTGTTTTCATTTGTATTCTTTTTGGGAGGGGTGTTATTTTCTCCCGGAGTCCCTCAAGAGACCCTGCTTCCCGCCTCCCCTCCCCCGAAGAGGAGCCCATTTTCCTGGCATTTTGGCTCAGGAACACCCATAGTCTGCTTTCACAGCAGCGACTCCGGGGAGCAATGAATTGGTGTGCGCACAACGTGGTAACTTTTTAACTCCTGCCCGCGACGGTGGAGTGCTTAATCTGAGGTTTTTAAATAAAAAGGGCTCAGGGGTTGGTTTTATTATAACGTTTATTTCATTTCAGATTTCATGCGCAATTTAGCAAACGCTAGACAGACTTGGGTGATAAACACTTTCTTTTGTGGGGGGAAAAGGCATTTTTATACACCATGCTTAATTTTATTTAGATTTAATAGCGATATCAGGGGCACTTCAAAGAAAGTTCTTTTTTTTCCCCCCTCCCCTTCTCCGAAGAATGCTGGTCTGCTAGCAAAATCGCCTCATGCTATTTTATGGCAAGGGAAATTACAGGCCTTCTCCCCCTTCCTCCCTTGCATGCACTTTAGGGAGGAAAATACACACACGCAGGCACACAGAATAAACACCTTCCCTACCCTCCATCCCCTCTAACTCCCAACTTCTAATTGTAAGATAGATTTCAGCCTCAGTGGGGATCAGGAAGATCTAAACATTTTAACTAAGATTATTGGGATAAATATTTCATAAAGAGCAGGGCAGATATTAAATTACTCCTATTGATTTTAGTATCACTACCCAATTCCGTTCCTTGGCCTCTTCAGTTTAATTGATCTCTTAAGGAGGCCAAACTCGCGCCCGCAGAGGGCCTGGGCCTTGGCCCCGGTGTCCGGAGTAGGGTGCTCCAGCGGGCGGGTGCACCCTCTGCGCGCGGGTCTTCTCAAAGCTCCCAGCCGCCTCGCGGCTCTGGCTCTGTGTTCATCTGATGTGCACCCCCTTACTCCCCCACAAGTAGCCGAATGGTCATGGCTCCTCTGGGCGGAAGCCGGAGACTGAGAACGGGGAACCCCAAAGTGTGCGGATAGGGAACAACTGTGCGCGCCCCAGTGAGGAGTGAGCAAGCGCCGGGGTCTTTCGAGCGGAACCCTAACTTCGGGGTTCCCGGTCTGCTTCCACCTCCAGAAAAATCCGAGGGCCGGTTAACTTGGGTGCCACTGGTAGGCAGACAGCGGTGGAGAACCGAGGTTTCGCCCCGGGGCTGAAGCGCAGCTGACTCTTTGCGACTTTCCTTGGCGAGTCCAAGAGCTGTGCTTGGCGACCCCATTGTCTAAGCGCCCCGCACCGCTTACCGCCCACCTCCCCGCCCCCTGCCCAACCCGCAGGTCTCGCTTCAGTTAGGGGTGGGGAGTTGGGAACTGTGCGAGTGGGAAGGGGGGTGAACAAAGCCAAGCTCCCGCCATTCTCCGTCTGCGCCCCTTTCAGCCCCACGCGCCGGGAGGCCAGGGCGCGCCCCCCAGCGCACTGGCGCCGACCCCGAGGCAAAACCTGCGCGGGGCACCCCGGAGCTGGCGGAGTGCGGGTTCATGGCGGGGGCCTCAGCAGCCAGCAACCGGGACCACCTTAAGAGCGAGCCCCGCCCCGGGCCCGGAGCTCGAGCTGCGCTGATTGGTGCAAATGTAATGGCTGAAATTGATTGCTGAAATGCAAAACTTGTTGCTGCTTCTCCCGGCGCTGGGCGAGAGGCAGACACCGAGAGGGGAGCCGAGACCCTCGGAACGCCCCACGCAGAGCCCCCCCGCCAGCCAGCAGAGGGGTGCGCGGACCCCCCCCCAGGACTGCCCCCGCCCCCCCTCCCATTCCGGCTCCTAGAGCGTAGCCGGAACGCCTCAGCCCGCTCGTCTAGCGAGGCCCCCCAATCCGCGTACGCCCCCCTCCTCGGGTCCGAGGGGGACTCGCGAAGCACCTCGGCGCGGAGGCAGGGAACCCAAGCCTCGGAGCGACCCAACCTCTCGTCTCGCTGCCCGCCCGCGCCTGGAACCGGGCGCGGAGACCCCGGCGAACTCAGAGACCGAACAGAGGACAGAAGCGGCAGGCGGCGGACGTGGCCGCGAAGCGGCGCGCGGGGTGCAGCGCACCCGCCCCGGAGCAGGGGAACCGCGCCTTCCCTCAAACCTCGGCTCCAACCCCCGGAGCCTGCCGCCTCCCCAGCCCCGCTGCACCCTCGACTCAGGGCCCTCACCCGTGATGCCGAGCGGAGCCTCCAGCCTTCCGACCCGCTGAAGAAGCAGTAGCCGCTTGCTCGGGGCCGACGGAGACTGGGCGAGCGGATCGTGCTCGGCGGAGGCTCGGGCTGCGGAGCGCGGGGACTCCGGGGGGGAGGGGGGAGGGACCGCTCTGTCCATGCCCGGGCGCCAGCCACGGCTTTGAAGGGTCTCCTTGCTCGGCCCCTTAGCAGCTCCGCCACGGACTCCGGGAGGCATCGGGAGACGTCCTGGGGCTTCCCACCCGACCCGATCGGACTTAAGAAGGTGATCGCTCTGCTCTCCCTTCCTCCTTCCCGCCTCTACCCCCACTTAACTTTTTGTCTCCACTCGCCCGCAGCTCCGTCCCCTCCGCGCAAACCCACCCGCGGCTGTGCCAACCGCCGGAGCATGGGCCCCCCAACACGGCTCCCGGAGGCCCCGCGGCACCGCAAGATGTGAGAGGCCCGGGTCCGGCAGAGCCAGAGCTTCGGGAGAGGAGCTGATAGCCCCCAGCCTCCACACACCAGGCGAGGTGGCGGTGCGCACTGCGCCCCCGCGGTGCTGAGCGTCCCGGAGCGCCCAACCCGGGGCCGGAACGTTTAGCTGGCCGGAGGCGCGCCGCGGAGAGCAGGCTGTCATGCCCTATTGATCCCCCCGCCCCCTGCCAAGTATGTTTGGGCTGGACCAATTCGAGCCCCAGATCAACAGCAGGAACGCTGGCCAGGGCGAGAGGAACTTTAACGAGGCCGGACTAAGCATGAATGCCCACTTTAAGGCCCCGGCTTTCCACGCGGGGGGACCCCCTGGCCCGGTGGACCCTGCCATGAGCGCGCTGGGCGAGCCCCCGATCTTGAGCATGAACATGGAGCCTTACGGCTTCCACGCGCGTGGCCACTCGGAGTTGCACGCGGGGGGGCTGCAGGCGCAGCCGGTGCACGGATTCTTTGGAGGCCAGCAGCCGCACCACGGCCACCCGGGAGGCCACCACCCCCACCAACATCACCCTCACTTTGGGGGCAACTTCGGCGGCCCGGACCCGGGGGCCTCATGCCTGCACGGGGGTCGCCTACTTGGCTACGGCGGCGCCGCCGGCGGCCTGGGCAGCCAGCCGCCCTTCGCGGAGGGTTATGACCACATGGCGGAGAGCCAGGGGCCGGAGAGCTTCGGCCCGCAGCGACCCGGGAACCTCTCGGACTTCCACAGTTCGGGCGCCTCGGGTCATGCGGTGCCTGCCCCGTGCTTGCCGCTGGACCAGAGCCCTAACCGAGCCGCCTCCTTTCACGGCCTGCCCGCCTCCAGCGGCTCCGATTCCCACAGTCTGGAGCCCCGAAGGGTTGCGAACCAAGGAGCCGTCGACTCGCTGGAATACAATTACCCTGGCGAGGCGCCCTCGGGACATTTCGACATGTTTTCGCCCTCCGATTCCGAGGGGCAGCTGCCTCATTATGCGGCGGGGCGCCAGGTTCCCGGGAGCTCGTTTCCCGGTGCGTCGGCCATGCCCAGAGCTGCAGGCATGGTGGGCTTGTCCAAAATGCACGCCCAGCAGCCGCCGCCGCCGCAGCAACCGCAGCCGCCGCCGCAGCCGCAGCAGCACGGCGTGTTCTTCGAGAGGTTCGGCGGGGCCCGCAAGATGCCCGTGGGGCTGGAGCCGGCAGTAGGCTCCAGGCACCCGCTAATTCAGCCTCCCCAGCAGGCCCCGCCGCCCCCTCCGCAGCAGCCCCCGCAGCCGCCGCAGCAGCCCCAGCCGCAGCCGCAGCCGCAGCCGCCGCCGCCGCCGCCGCCGCCGCCCGGGCTTCTGGTCCGACAAAATTCGTGCCCGCCTGCGCTCCCGCGGCCGCAGCAGGGCGAGGCGGGCACGCCCAGCGGCGGCCTGCAGGACGGGGGCCCCCTGCTGCCCAGCCAGCACGCCCAGTTCGAGTACCCCATCCACCGGCTGGAGAACCGGAGCATGCACCCGTATTCGGAGCCCGTGTTCAACATGCAGCACCCCCCTCCGCAGCAGGCGCCCAACCAGCGGCTGCAGCATTTCGACGCGCCCCCCTACATGAACGTGGCCAAGAGGCCGCGCTTTGACTTCCCGGGCAGCGCGGGAGTGGACCGCTGCGCTTCGTGGAACGGCAGCATGCACAACGGCGCGCTGGACAACCACCTCTCGCCCTCCGCCTATTCGGGCCTGCCCGGCGAGTTCACCCCGCCCGTGCCCGACAGCTTCCCCTCAGGGCCAGCCCTGCAGCATCCGGCCCCGGACCACCAGTCCCTGCAGCCGCAGCAGCAACACCAGCAGCCCCAGCAGCAGCAGCGCCAAAACGCGGCCCTCATGATTAAGCAGATGGCGTCGCGGAATCAGCAGCAGCGGCTGCGCCAGCCCAACCTGGCCCAGCTAGGCCACCCCGGGGACGTGGGCCAGGGCGGCCTGGTACACAGCGGCCCGGTGGGCGGCTTGGCCCAGCCGAACTTTGAGCGCGAAAGCACGGGCGCGGGGCGCCTGGGCACCTTCGAGCAGCCGGCGCCTCACTTGGCGCAGGAGAGCGCGTGGTTCCCAGGTCCGCACCCGCCGCCGGGGGACCTGCTGCCTCGCAGGATGGGCGGCTCAGGCCTGCCGGCTGACTGCGGCCCGCACGACCCGGGCCTGGCGCCGCCCCCTCCCCCCGGGGGCTCGGGCGTGCTGTTCCGTGGCCCTCTGCAGGAGCCGCTGAGGATGCCCGGAGAGGGCCACGTGCCCGCGCTGCCCTCCCCCGGCTTGCAGTTCGGGGGCAGCCTGGCGGGTCTGGGCCAACTGCAGTCGCCCGGGACTGCGGTGGGGCTGCCCAGCGCTCCCTCCGAGCGCCGGCCCCCGCCCCCGGATTTCACAGCACCGGCGCTCGGGGGCCAGCCCGGCTTCCCGTTCAGCTCGGCGAACCGGCAGGCCACGCCGCATAGCGGCCCAGGGGTGAACTCGCCCCCGAGCGCGGGCGGGGGCGGCGGCAGCACGGGCGGCGGCGGCGGCGGCGGCGGTGGCGGTGGCGGCGGCGGCGGCGGGGGCGCCTATCCGCCGCAGCCTGATTTCCAGCCCAGCCAGCGCGCCTCGGCCAGTAAGCTGGGCGCGCTGTCGCTGGGCTCCTTCAACAAGCCCAGCTCCAAGGACAACCTGTTCGGCCAGAGCTGCCTGGCTGCACTCTCCACCGCCTGCCAGAACATGATCGCCAGCCTCGGGGCCCCCAACCTCAACGTGACCTTCAACAAGAAGAACCCGCCCGAGGGCAAGAGGAAACTGAGCCAGAACGAGACCGACGGCGCGGCTGTGGCCGGCAACCCTGGCTCGGATTACTTCCCCGGAGGGACTGCCCCTGGGGCCCCAGGGCCTGGAGGCCCGTCGGGGACTAGTAACAGCGGCTCCAAAGCCTCAGGGCCGCCCAACCCACCCGCCCAGGGGGACGGCACCAGCCTCTCCCCAAACTACACCCTGGAGTCAACGTCTGGGAACGACGGCAAGCCGGTCCCCGGGGGCGGAGGTCGGGGACGGGGTCGAAGAAAAAGGGACAGTGGTCACGTGAGCCCCGGGACCTTCTTCGACAAATACTCTGCAGCGCCAGACAGCGGGGGCGCGCCTGGGGTGAGCCCGGGGCAGCAGCAGGCGCCGGGCGCAGCCGTCGGAGGAAGCTCCACGAGCGAGGCTCGCGGGGCTCCTACGCCCCACGACAAGGCGCTCACGTCGCCGTCGTGGGGGAAGGGGGCCGAGTTGCTCTTGGGGGACCAGCCGGACCTCATGGCTTCCCTGGACGGCGGGGCCAAGTCGGACGGTAGTTCCCCGCACGTGGGCGAGTTTGCCTCGGACGAGGTGAGCACCAGCTACGCCAACGAGGACGAGGTGTCATCCAGCTCCGACAACCCCCCAGCCCTGGCCAAAGCGAGTAGGAGCCCCCTGGTGACAGGCTCGCCCAAACTCCCTCCGCGTGGGGTGGGTGCTGGGGAACACGGACCTAAGGCTCCCCCGCCCCCGCTTGGCCTGGGCATCATGTCTACCTCTACCTCCACCCCTGACAGCTACGGCGGCGGGGGCACGGGCCACCCTGGCACCCCGGGCCTGGAGCAGGTCCGGACCCCAACGAGCAGCAGCGGGGCACCACCCCCCGACGAGATCCACCCCCTGGAGATCCTCCAGGCGCAGATCCAGCTGCAGAGGCAGCAGTTCAGCATCTCTGAGGACCAGCCCCTGGGGCTCAAGGGTGGCAAGAAGGGTGAGTGCGCCGTTGGGTCCTCGGGGGCGCAGAATGGCGACAGCGAGCTGGGCAGCTGCTGCTCCGAGGCCGTCAAGAGCGCCATGAGCACCATCGACCTGGACTCGCTGATGGCGGAGCACAGCGCCACCTGGTACATGCCCGCAGACAAGGCCTTGGTGGACGGCGCCGACGACGACAAGACGCTGGCACCTTGGGAGAAGGCCAAACCCCAGAACCCCAACAGCAAAGAAGGTATATGCGCTTTTTCCCTTCTCATCTCCCCCAGACCCGTCCCCACCCCCACTGCAGGCCTTAGCCTAGCCTTGAGTGCTCCCTCGGAGGGGACGATCCCTTGGGGTTAGGAGGGCGCGGGCCCTCTTAATGCCCAGCTCAGAGCTGGATGCCCTCCCTTTGGTTACAGCAAGGGCTCTGTGGGCCCATCTCCCACTTCCACCCCCCACCCCCAGGTGCTGCCAGGTGGATTCTAGTTCCTCACCGAGGTAGGAACTTAGATGGTAGCCCTGTGGGGATTATTTCAGAGTCCTTCACCAAGTTTTAGCTGGGTTGCCGGGTGCTCAGAGGACAAGACAGGCCCCTTTCCTTTCATACCAAGATCCCTCCTCACCCTTGACACTCAGGCTGGTTCCACTTTGTAGGAGTTGTGTGCCTGCACCCCCTCCCCCCTTTCCTGGCAGGACACCTGGGAAGTTGTGTTAATAACCTTCCCACCTTTTCCTAGTCAGCCAACTTCCAGCCTGAGTTCCCTTCCATGTGCCAGCATCTTTAGAGAGAAAAAAAAAAAGTTACCAGGCGCTGGTGTCAGCAGCATCACTCAGAGGCAACGCCTAATTTGACAGTTGTTTCTAATGAATAGCTGTTTTGTCTCTTCTCAACTATTAGGGTTTCACTGGAAACCTGGAGACCTGTCTGGTTATAGGAGGCAGGCAGGCTTTTCCCGGTGGCATCTCCTTGACATTTGGGTGGGGGGTGCTGGGGCTGGGGTGGGGTCTGCTTGGCAGAGACCGGACCACTCAGCCGGGGCATCATTTGTGTTTGGGGATAGCGATGTAGGGATATATGTTCTTAAGACACAAAGGACCCGCGTTTGTCAATATCTCGCCTGGCTTTGGTGACAGATGTCTGGTCCCAGCTCTTGTTTGCATTCTAAGCACTCCCTCCCCACCAGGCCTGGAGGCCTTTAAGGTGGGTGGGGTGGGGGGTTAGCAAAGGGACCTCCATTGCAGTTAAAGTAGTAACAGTTTTGTTTTGAACTGAAAGAGGACCGGACTGCAGTAGGTAACCGTTTCATTTTAACAGGGGCCTTTCTTTTTTTCACAGAAAATTGCTTCTTAAAATTAGGTAACATCATGCCCCTCCGCCCCCCCACCCCCCATTTCTACCTTTTTCTTTTAAACCCTAGATGCCTTCCCTAGGTTTCACGGGGACTGACTATTACCAGGGGACCAGCGGCTGCTGATTGAACCCTGTCTAAAAAAAATAGACGTCCCCTGATTCTTGCTCTCTCTTAGAGTTCTTCTCCTCTGTCTTCATGGGCCTGGGCCTCCTGCCTCTGGCTTTAAGGTGCGGGTAGGTTTTGGGAGAATGGGCTGGAGGAGGGGGGAGGGGAAGGGACGCCCTGGAGTTGGGTGGCTCAGAACTCGGGGCTTTCACCGCTGCTGTCCTGGGTAGCGTTCCCGCTTAGGTTTTTCTAATTCATGAATGCGGCCTCCCTGCTTTTCTCTTTGTTCGCCTACTGCCCAGCCCGGGACGCTGCTCTCTCATTTGAAGCCTGCTGTTTAGCATGCACGGCAGACGCTGAGGGCCAGCATCAGCATTCTCCAGGCTTCTCCCAGGCAAGGCCATAAATTGGTTAGTTTGGGACCCTCCGCTTCTTCTCCCTGGTTTTTACCACCCCCCTCTTCCTTTTTAAAATGGACTTGGACACAGCATCCTGCTTGCCCGGCTCCCGGCCCCCCCCTCCCATCCCTAGTCTCTTTTATTTTCTGGTACACAGCGTCTCGATCTACCCCGATCGATAGCTGGTTAGCACAAATCCCAGCCCCTGTCACTTCTACCTGGCTTGGCCTGGCTGCCTCTCCCCCTCCTTAATTACTGGGATGGGGGAAACTTCCCCCATCCCAGTAATTAAGAACATATTGGCCAAAATAGGGTGAGAGAAGTTTTTTAAAAACCCCTGATTTCGAGAATTAATAAAAAAAAACCAGTAGCCCTCAGCCTGCGAGTCTTCTGAAGGGCCTTCGTAGATTAGGTAGAGAGGAATTGAGTGGTTTTAAGATTTTTTTAAAGGTGTCACAAGTCCCCCAATCTTCCTTTCCAGAAAAAGAATAAAGATGCAGGCTATGAGTGAAGAGATGTCATTAAAGATACGTTTTGTTTTGTTTGTTTCAGTATCACAGTCAGAAGAGCGAAAATATTTTTTTGGAAGCAGATGCTAGTCACTTGAGGGTTGATTCCTCCTGTAAGCTAAAGGCAGCCCTCCCTTGCACAGAGGGGAGGAGGGGGGACAGGGGCTTCCTTCGGGGACGGGGACAGGCTGCGGGGCTGGGCTCCTTAGCAGCATCACAGGGACACCCACTTGACCTCCTTTGTTTTCCACTCTGTGATGTGGGAAGGACAGTTTCCTAGATAAAGCCCCGAATTGAGGTCACTCACAGCTTCTGCAGCCTTGGGGCTGCTAGTTAAGGCTTTATAAGGTATCTGCATCCGATTCCTGCTCCCTTACTGGTAGTAAATAAGGATGATTAAACTTTTCATTATGATAACACCCTGCAGTTCCATCTGCACATGTTGTATAAATAGGTACACAGAGCCTTCAACAGCCCCCCGGTCCCCTGGCTGAAAATCAGTGAAGTGTGCCACTTCAAAATAGAGGCAAAAAAAATTTTAAAGTACAACGGTCTGCTTGTCCTTAAACACATGCCCATGGGCCCATTGGCCACGAATTGGGGTGTCCAGCAGCTTCGAACATTCCTTCTGGAGGTCCCAGCCCCTAGCCAGCACCTTCTCTCCCACCCCCTTTCAGGCAAAGCCCATTTTTGTAATGATATTTTATTTTGTCACACCGTAAAACATGCCAGTACTAATGTGATTAAATATTAACACCGTTTCTGAAATTCTTCGCTCCGATGACAAAGTACGAGTCGGTATTTAACAAAATGATCTGTGCTCGGATTGGTGAGAACGGATCAGTCTTCAGACCCGCACAAGCCATGTAGTCAGTGGGACGTGCCCAGATTGTCTTATGGGGTTTAGATGTCCTTTCGAGGGGAGGGAACTCAAATGGCAAGTTGTAGTTCTGGCAAAGGCCAGGCCAGAATCACGTGTGATGATGTTTTTTTTTTTGTTTTTTTTTTAAACCAGGTAACTGGGTCTTCTCCAAATTAGGCTTCTCCTGACTTCTTAACCCACCCAACAACTTTTATATAATGAAACTCCTCATCTCATCTTGAGGTTCTGTTTGCACAAAGTTGAGGGCGGGGGTGGGGAAGGGTGAGGTTGTCGGGGGTGGGGGGAGAAAAACCAGCTTGAGTTTGGCCCTATTCAGACATCTATTAGATCAGTGGATGACATGAATTTGAGAGGAGTTGGCAAAACCGTCCACCTCTCCTGGTAATAGGTGTGTGGCGGTGGAGAAATTCCAAAACTGATAGAGAAGGAGAAAAAACGGGGAATTGTAGATAAGAGGGTATTAAGTCTGAAAAAGTACGTTCATCCACCTCCTGCCCCTGACGATTTTCAAAACTTGAATTAACTGTGTTCTGTAATAAGTTGACCCTTGCCAAACTTCCATTCCGTGGCTTGCTCCCTGTCCTGAAATCTGGAGCGGTCTAGAAACGTTCCTTCACACACATTGAAATAGGAGAGGGCTCTGTGTACGGCGTGCATGCAATCCTGCCCTTTTTGGAAGTATGATATTTTTACAGTGATGCGGGAGAAATTTTTGGAATTTCATGCCTCTCCGAGTGTGCTGGTCAGAACTCAGTAAGCAGTGCTGAGAAATAGTGGGCAGGCAGGATTTGGACACTGAGTTTCCTTTGACGTGGGGGCAGGCTTGGGGCAGGAGGGAGGCCCCAGGGCTGCTTTCCTGAGTAGTTTCCCTCACTCCCCACGGCTTTTTTCGGCTCACTCAGACTTGTTTTGGGAGGGCAAGGAGTCTTGCCTTTCCATTTCCCTGCAGAATCACCCAGCAAGAGTTGCATGCCTTCGTGTGACTTTTGCGCCTCCGGAAGATTGTAACCCAAAACTTCGCAGGTGTTAATCAGGGGTAATGTAAACAGATAGGAGCCCCCTTTGTGCAGCTGACGTCCCAGCCTGCTTGCTCCCTGACTAGTCCGGGACATACTACTACTGTTCTTTGGTGCTTGTTTGATATTTCAGGGCTGTAATAAACCTGTCTCCTTTGCCCACCTCCTGGCATAAAAGCCCAACCTAGCGCACATCTGCAATTATACATTTCTGCTAAATATTAATAAAGGACATGGATTTTTAAGGGTTTGAAGCTTATCGGTGTTGAACTTGTTAATGGCTTCCACCGCTGGATTTTTCTGGCTGTTTTGATTTTAAATAAGCCACTGCCTTCTGATATATCATGTAGACTTATATTCTTTCATATGTGTATGTATATATGTAAATATATAAATATATACAATTTTCGTAGATTGAAGGGCTTTCCTCAAGGATGGCTTTCTTTAATATAAATTCATTTACATTTCTTGTGAGGCCCTTCAGACCGGAAGTCAGGGGCTGTTGAAATGTACTTCTGTTTTATTGAGGTTTCTAGGAAGGGAGTGAGGGCTGGTTAATCTAATATCTCTTTCTAGCAATGAAATTCTATGGTTCCTGATATGATTTTGTTTGCCTGACAGAGGTATTTAAATTTCCACAAAGAATCTTAATAGGTCCTGAAAAATAGATCCTGCCCTTGCCAAGAAGTTACCTGATACTCTCTACTGATATAAAATATACATCTTTAACAAACAGTCCGGGAGGACCAGGTGAAATTGGAGGAGGGAAATTCTTCCCACTCTGGCGGGACAAACTTGAGTGGATCCTTGGGATTTCACAGGATCTCTTGAACTCACTCCGCGCTGGAGGATAGAGCAAAATCACCTTTCTCTCCACTTGAGGGACAATCACGTAGGGTCACGTTCTTTGCACAGGGAGCAATCTGCTTTGCCAAAGGCACTTGGGAGATAAATACTTCTGGTAAGGAATACTGTTATTTACCTCTG